CCCCATGCGCTGGCGCTGCGACGGCGACACGGACTGCATGGACTCCAGCGACGAGAAAAACTGCGAGGGGGTCACCCACGTCTGCGACCCCAACGTCAAATTCGGCTGCAAGGACTCGGGTGAGGGAGCAGAGGGGCAGGGGAATGCACTTGTGGGGTGGGCTGTCCTGGGATAATGGGGAAATGCAAGTGGTCAACGCATGAGCCATGATCTTGATGGATGGTGTCATCCTTGGATCCCTTCTCCCCTTCTCTGGGTCATCCTCGGATCCCTTCTTCCCTTCTTGGAGTCATCCTCAAATTCCTTCTCCCCTTCTCTGACATCCTCGGATCCCTTCTCCCCTTCTCTGTGTCATTCTTGGATCCCTTCTCCCCTTCTCTGACATCCTTGGATCCCTTCTCCCCTTCTCTGCATCATTCTTGGATCCCTTCTCCCCTTCTTGGAGTCATCCTCAGATTCCTTCTCCCCTGGAAATGCCTGGGCTAACATCTGGAAATAGCTGGGATAACATCAGGAAATAGCTGGGATAACATCTGGAAATAGCTGGGGTAACATCAGGAAATTACTGGGATAACATCTGGAAATAGCTGGGGTAGCATCTGGAAATAGCTGGGGTAACACCTGGAAATAGCTGGGGTAACATCTGGAAATAGCTGGGGTAACATCTGGAAATACTTGGGATAACACTGGAAATAGCTGGGATAACATCTGGAAATGCTGGGGATAACATCTAGAAAGATTTGGAATAACATCTGGAAATGCCTGGGATAACATCTGGAAATACCCAGAATAACATCCCTTTCCTGGTTCTGCTCTGCCCCCTCCCCCGTCAGCCCGCTGCATCAGCAAGGCCTGGGTCTGCGACGGGGACAGCGACTGCGAGGACAACTCGGACGAGGAGAACTGCGAGTCCCTGGTGTGCAAACCCCCCTCKCACACCTGCGCCAACAACACCTCCATCTGCCTGCCCCCCGAGAAGCTCTGCGACGGCACCGACGACTGCGGCGACGGCTCCGACGAGGGCGAGTTGTGCGGTGAGCGCGGGGACAACCGGGTTTGGGGACACCAGGGTGACCCCTCATGAGCAGGACGAGGTGACAATCACGTCTTGTCCCCCCAGACCAGTGCTCCCTCAACAATGGAGGCTGCAGCCACAACTGCACGGTGGCTCCCGGCGAGGGAATTGTGTGTTCCTGTCCCCTGGGCATGGAGCTGGGCGCCGACAACAAGACCTGCCAGATCCAGAGCTACTGCGCCAAGCACCTCAAGTGCAGCCAGAAGTGCGAGCAGGACAAGTACAATGTCAAGTGYTCCTGTTATGAGGGTTGGATGCTGGAGCCCGATGGAGAGAGCTGCCGCAGCCTGGGTGCGTGTCAGGGGCACCAGGGATGGGTTGCAGGACCTCAGTT